GGCAGCGGCGTGAAGAGACGCTGCTCACGCCCGGGGAGAGGAGGAGGCGACGTCGTCCGCCTCGGCTCGCAGGGCCGCCTGAGAGGAGCACGACGCGGAAGTGTCTCGGAAGCGTCTCGGAAGCGTCTCGGAAGTGGCTCGCAGGGCCGCCTCGTCGCGCAGTGTCTCGAGGAGGAGAGGGACGTCGACCACGACAAGCCACTCGCCCTCCTCCCCCGCCCGCCGGACGAACCCCGCCCGCTCCTCCGTCACAAGCGGGTGCACGATCTCCTCTAGCCGCTGCAGCGACGCCTCGCGGCCGGCGGTGGCGACGGCGGCCGAGAGGGCGGCGCGATCGATGCCTCCGTCGGCGCCGCGCGCGCTCGGGAAGGCGGCGCACACCGGCTCGACCGCCGCGCCGCCCGCTGCGTACAGCGAGTGCACCGTCGCGTCGGCGTCGTGCACGCGGAAGCCACACCTGCGGAACCACGCGGCCGCGGAACTCTTGCCCATGCCGATGCCGCCCGTGAGGCCGACGACGGTGGCGGTGCTGCTGCGCGCGGGGATGCGAGCTCCCACGCCGGCGGCAGCAATGGCCGCAAGCCCTGCCATTCTTCTCTCTTTTGCAGCCGGGGTTCCGTATATCTTTTTGCTTGGCCGTACATCATGATGAAATTGTAGCCTGGCGTTTGTGCCCCGTTTGTGCCACGTCCCGTGCCCCCGAGTTCATTTTATAAAAATTCTGCAAAAACCCTGGCCTGCCCCTGCGGTGCCCCTACCTACCTACCTACCTACCTACCTACCTTACTTATGGGAAACTAAAAAAGAAATCACTCGAGGTGAAGGTGGGGTACTATACCAACTAGAGTGATGGTTGGTGGTACTCTCCTGTAACCACAGTCCTTCTTGTGACATGGCAGGCCACTCTCAAGCCCTACAAGCATCAGATCACCCATTTGGGGAGGGTTGACATCGTGATTTCCGCGGAAAATTTCTTTTTCTGCTGTGAAAATTCCAGCCGCAAGACAAACGAAAGGGTGGCTGGGCAAGGGCCAAGGCGCCCGCGTCGGGCCCCAGCCCCCCCCCCCCCCCCCCCCCGGGGGGGGGGGGGGGGGGGGGGGCCAAAGGGGGGGCTTTTTTTTTTTTCAAAAAACCTTTTTTTTTTTTTTGGGGGGGGGTTTTTTCCCCGAAAAAAAAAAATTTTTGGGGGGAAAAAAAAGGGGAACCCCCCCCAAAAGGGGGATCTAATTTTTTTGGGGGGTGAAAGGGGGCCCCCCTTTCAAAAAAAGGAAGGGGGTTTTGGGGGAGAACCCCCCCCCCCCCCCCTTTTGGGGGTTGAGCCCCCCCCCCCCCCCGGGGGGGTTTTTTTTTTTTTTCCCCCAAAAAAAAAAAAAGGGGGGGTTGGTTGGTTGGTTGGGGCCCCCCCGGGGGGGGCCAGGGTTTTTTTCAAAATTTTTTAAAAAAAAACCGGGGGAGAAATTTTTGGGGCCGGGGGGGACCCTATTTTTTTTAGGGGGGAGCCCCCCCCTTTCAGAACCCCCCTTTCCCCCCTCTTGGGGGGGCTTTATTTAAATTTTTGGGCGGGGGTTTTTAAAAAA